GATTTTGGGGTGTGATTCTTAGTTTTATTGTTGTTTTACGCGTTTCGATAGTTTGAGCAAGTCCGTATTATGTTTATAGACTTGTTGGTGTAGTTGGACAGGGTCCCGAGGGGCTCGGGTGTGTTTCGGACCACCCGGAGCCAAGTTGAGGAAACCAGATTTTCCTGTTCTGGTTTCCTTCTTCACGAACGTGGAAGGACCATCGCGTTCGCGAAGAAGGAATTGGGGCTGGGGGGGATGTTGTGTTACGCGTTCGCGATAGGTAGCTCCCATTCGCGAAGAAGAGGGCTGATGGGCAGAGAGTTTTAAAACTCGGGACTTAGGCCTTTTCCTCTCATTTTTCACACACTTGGGTGATTTTGGAGTTTCAAAAAGGGGATTTCAACCTAGCTATTAATTTCTACCTAATGTGAGTTTAATACATAGATTATGGGTAGATTTTAACATGTAAATTTGTAAAATTTATGGGTTAGATGAAAAACCTAGGTTTTTGATAAAAATGGGATTTAACCACGAAATTTGTTATGGAATTTAGTGAAAATCATATATTTGAGTTCATGAGGTTATGGGTAACAACTTTCTTCGAAATTTTCGGAATCTGGGCACGTGGGCCTGGGGGTGAATTTTAGGAATCCAACACTTGGGGTTGGGTAATCACTTTAATAGTTGGAATATGAACTTTTGAACATGTATTGATTAATTTTTATACTATTTGACTAGTTTTGGATTGTTCGGCACCGAGTTGAGGCTTTAGAGTGAATTTGGGGCCAGAATGTAAGCTTTGAGACTAGGTAAGTCTCTTTTCTAATCTTGTAAGAGGGTATTAACCCCATAGGTGAATCAATTAATATGTGCTTCTATTTGTGGGGGCTATGTACGCATGAGATGACGGGAGTCCGTACGTAGCTACTAATTATGCTTATGTCCAGGTAGTCTAGGACTCATACCATGTTATACATATGATGTAAGCACCTACTTGTTAACTTAATTGCTTAAATCATGTTGGAACTTGATAAAGGAAATTGTAAAAGGTTAAATATCACTTACTTGAATTCTTGGACATGTCACTTGATTGTTATTGAGAATTGTGTTACTTTAAATATTAGCCTCTTAATAAATCTTGAATCAGCTGTTACAAAGTATTTTCCCTTTTCGTGGAGCGAGCCGAACGCCTCGGTAGCATATAGATGCATCTATGGTTCGTGCCGTTTGACCCTCGGCAATATATAGTTTAAATATTTTATATTGGATCGCGCCGTACGACCTCGGCATAAATTGCGCGTAATAAATTTTTGAAACCAATTATAATTGATATTGCTTCATTGGCTTGAGATATAAATTGTTAAATGATGGAAATAAACTTGGGATTTACTATTAGTGAAAGGATTGTTTATTATTTCCTGTAATTGAGTTTTCAGCTATAATTATGTAATCCATGATTAGTTATAATTTTGACATTTTATTGTTAGCCCATAGTAAGTGTCAAAATCGACCCTTTGTTGGACTGGATACTTATTGGGTACATGTTGTTTATGTACTCACACTACACTTCTGCACTAAACGTGTAGGATCTAAGGCAGGTGCATCTGGATATCAGTCCGGCGCGCATCCTTGACTACTACTACGAGATTTCGTGGTGAGCTGTCTTCTGAGCCCGTTCTGCAGCAGCCGGAGTCTTTCTTTTGCTTGTATTTTTCTGTTTATTTCACTTCAGACAGTAGTGTAGTATTCTTTTATATATTCTACTAGTTGCCCATACACTTGTGACACCGTCTTGGAAGTTTAAGCTAGTAGACACTTGATGGTTTTTGGGTTATCTTATTTATCTCACTGCTTTAAAAATCTTGATCTCTCATTTTTATTAAATCCTTACTTCTTATTTATGCACAAACTAAAAGTCAACTATTTCAAATTTTAAAAGCAGAGTTAGTTTACTGTAGGCTTGCCTAGCAATAACGTTGGGCGCCATCACGACCCATAGGAGAAATTGGGTCGTGACAGAAAAAGTTTGAATTATTGTTGAGATTGTTGGTTTTGCCTTTTCCTACATTCTTTATATATGTGCCTAATATATCAAATATGATTTTATGTTAAATAATTATCATTAATGAAGCATCAATTTTATTCTATCTTTGCATGCAGGTATTTCAAGAAATTATTGATTTCGCATGCTACATTTAAAATACAAAATTTAATAAGTTATCAAATATGAAAAAATGATAACGAAGTCTTACCAAACTACCAAGTCTCAGAAATGTTAAATCTTCCTAAATATTATTTTTCCTAAAAAAAACTCATTATTTCAACTATATATAGGAGAGTGGCGAAGGCAAAACAAATAAATTATAACAAACCTTCATACAAAGAATGGCTTCCATTACAAACCATTTCTTGATTTTCATTTTTGTTGTGTGTTTTACCTTGTCTCAATTCTCATCTTCTTTTGCACACAAAACACCAATTGTTCATTTTATTAGCAATTTGGCAAATGAGACAGAATCAGTCCAAATTAATTGCAAAGCAGGCGGATTCCCTAGGGTTTCACAAGCTCTTCAACCCGGCCAAATTTTTTCATTTGAAGCAGATAAAATGAAAAATACATATTATTGTGTAGCCATATGGGGTTTGCAATTCACTTCTATTAAAGCATTTCAACCAAAAAGAGACAAAGACCATCATAATATCTATTGGTTGGTGAAAGAAGATGGGTTTTATCGCAGTTGGAATAAGGTTCATTGGAACTTGATTGCGGGATGGGACCGTGGGATATGATCAGAGATGAAGTCAGGATTTGAATCCGTAACCGACACATTAGCTCGGCTCTTGAATATGATAGTTGATTAATTAATTAGCTTCTCCTTTGTTTAGTTCTTGCAAATTGTTATTTTATGTCGTTTTAATTCACATGATATTGGTTTTACAAGTATACATTCTATAAATTCGATTTACAATGAAGAATTACCGTCTGATTCCTATTAGATTTTAATCTTCTTTTCATTTTTCGTTTCTTGATTTATTTATGATTATAATCACCTTCTTTCCCTTGGCGTGCAATTTATAAGACCAAGATAGTATAGATATTAGCACATTCATTCCAACAGTAACGGCTCACGGATTATTTTACCAGACCTAGGTTTAATATTTTCTGCTTGCAATATCATTAATCAACTTTGTCACGATCCAAAAGTTAACGGCTTTGACTAACATTTGACGACTTAAATCCATCGGGCGAATCCTTAATCCCATCGTATATTATATAAATAAACTTAAGATAATTAAATATTTTTGGTCTAGCGGCAAAATGTATAACTTTTCAACAACAAAAAAAGGGTCAATGACACAAATGACATTGAAAGGAGTTGATCTTGAAGGTTAACCAATAGGGGTGTTCATAAAAACCCGAAAAATCGAACCAAACCGAAAACCAAACCAAACCGACCAAAAAAACCGATACTTTTTGGTTTGGTTTGGTTTTGGTCTTGAATTTTAAAAACCGATCAAATTTGGTTTGGTTTTGGTTTTAATCAGAAAAAACCGAAAAAAAATCGAACCAAACCGACAATATGAGTAGCTATTTCAAATTTATTATTCACCTATATATATATGTATATTTTTTTTACAAAGTTTCAAAAATTTAATGGTAAATGTTAATAGTTTGCCCTTTTAGTATAGTTCTTTACCTTTACCTTCTAGTTTGATTGGTAGTTTTCTTTTGTTAAGTGTAAGAATCCATTTCGTATTAAAAATAATATATTTTTAATTGAGTCCTTAAATTATTCATCACTATTTGATTCAATTATCATCAATATATCTTGGTAAATAATAGATTTCTCAAAGGGCAATTGATTTGATAGTGTTACGTTGAAAATGTGGTCTCCGAAATATGTGTTTGGTAGTGTATATCGTATATTTAAGAAAAAACCGACAAATAACCGAAAATCCGACAAAACCCGACATAAACCGAATCGAGAAAAAATCGACTTAAGTGGTTTGGTTTGGTTCTAATATTTGAAAAACCGACTTACTTGGTTTGGTTTCTTTTTAGGGAAAAACCGATCCAAACCGAACCATGAACATCCCTATTAACCAATACTCAGGTAACCTATTTTAAGGGAGAAATTCAAAAATAGCCAGATTACAAGTGGTTGTTCAAAAATAGCCCAATTTCAAAAGTAATCGAAATCTAGCCACTTTTCATGTAAAGATAAATCTGAGCGAAAATACTGTTCAAAACCCGGAAAATACACCAGTATATTATGGTGGAGTTCCAGCATAAGTATACTTGAACTTCAGCATATTATACTGGAGTTCTAGGATAAGTATGCTGGAACTCCAGCATAATATGATGGAGTTCCAGCATAAGTACACTAGAACTCCAGCATAATATACTGGAATTCCAGCAAAGTATACCGGTCCAGTATAATATGCTGGAAGTTCATACACAAGTGCTCGAATCTCCAGTATATTATGCTGAAACTTTTCGTGTGTTGGAGTTCCAGCATAATATGCTGGAAGTTCATACACAGGTGCACCGAACTCCAGTATATTATGCTGGATCGGTCTCTGTTGCAGCAAAATAGTGGCTATTTTTCATTGACTTGTTAAACGCCGGCTATTTTTGAATGACCAGTCCGAAAACTGGCTAGACCGTGCTATTTTTTACCTATTTTAAAGGTCAAAAGTTAAAGATCACTCTTATATGTCCTATTTTTGTCATTTCAGGAGAAAAAAAAGTATGGTATTATTACACAAACAGGCGGCCAGATTCAATGCTTACCTTTTTTAATCGGTATACACACATTATACATTGATTATACTAGTTATATAATACATATATTATATATCCGACGGCTATTTTTACTTTAAAAAATTAGGTATACGGCTATTTGGGTTAATTCTTCAAAAAGTATTTGGCCCCAAAACAAATGGAGTCTATAAAGGCCCATTTGAAAGTAAGGGCCTTAGCCCAAAAAAAAATAAGTTAAAGCGAGCTTTCTGCCTTAAATACCCAACCCTCAACTGTTAATTCCCCCCCTTTTCCATATTTCTCTCTGGACGACGAACTTCGCTTTGCTCCGGAATCAATTGTATGTACTTTTTTTGCTCCGACCAAAACCCTAACCCCTAAATTTTAATTGTAAACAACAAATTTTACTGATTTTGCATCAATATTTATGTATTTGTTTTACTTTCTCAAAGAATGCATCAACCTTTATATCATTGTTGTGATTTTTGCGAGTCTTTTTTTTTGATTGGTTAATATTTGTTAAATATATGATTTTTGCGAGTTAAATATGCGTTTTTTATTTGCTTCTCATACGATAGTAGCTCAAAGTTGTGATGGTAGTGGGGTGTTAGTAATAAATATTGTTTCAAAATTGCTGATTGTTAAAGGGTGGATGTATATGTATATTGATTGTGTAAAATTCGTGTTTAAGGTGTTCAGTGTTCAAAGTATATCTCTAGCTAGTAGTTCTATCATATTCTTTTACTATAAATTTCAGAGGCGGAGGGTTCTGATTCTAGGAGAGCGACATCAATTGCTAGTAACTAACTAGGTTTTGAATTTCTTAACACATATACAGGGTTTTGGGGGGGGGGGGGTAAGCTACTTGTTTGAACCCATATCTTAAAGGGTACATTAACTCCTGGTAACGTAGCCTTTTTTTTTTATTATTTTTTTATTTTTTATATTTGTGAATTTAGTAGGGCAAAGATGACTCTATCGGAAGAGGAGCTCTCGAGACTTTTCAGAGTTCGTAAGACACTGATGGAAATGTTGGCGGATAGAGGTTACCTTGTTGGAGAGTTTGAGATAAATATGTCAAAACATCAGTTTCTTCAGAAGTATGGTGAGAATATGAAAAGAGAAGACCTTGTTATTCAGAAAGCCAAGCGCAACAACAGTTCTGAGCTGGTCTGTGCTCTTTCAATATCCTTTATTGCCTAATTTTCAATTAAAGTATTTGCATAATAGTTGGACTGAAGCTTAGTTGTTGTTGGCATCTTAACTAAGCTTACTGTCAGTTTATTTGCAGTCCTTTCTTGTCTAAGGATTTTGATCTTTCCTTTAATAGATCAGCTTTTTGGGTTTTGTTTTACTTATCCAGCAAAAGTATTGATTCTTTTCCAGGTTGTTATGTTACTCCTTTTCTACTAGCATGTTAGTATACTCTGTCACTTCATTGTATAACTGAAGATTTCATTTTGATGTAGTCTCAGAGTATCTTGTCATTGTTGTAATAGATGCTCTTGACATTGAAAAACTATCTTGCCGAAGACAAGTTAAGGGGATATCATAGAAAGATGGCTATTTCTTTCCACCACATAGTGAAGTAAACATATTTTATGTTAAACAATGTTTTCCATTATCATGAAGAAAAGGGAAGAAAAAAAAAGTTTGTCAATTAGAAAATGAAAACACATTAAAGGTTAATTATGGATAAATGACCCCAATATGGTAAATGTAATTGGGAAGGACATTCAAAAAAAAATCAAAGTTGGAGTTCACCAAAACAAATGGAAAAATCCTGATCGTGCAAACTTTATCTGTGACGTAGAAGAATGAAAAGAAGAGAAAGCTCGTCACTATGTACAATATAGATAAAAGACTTAAAGATAAAAAAAGTGTATTTTTGTACCCCCTGAGCTTTTGTCTAGCTGTAAGATTGCAACACGTGATGTGTGGACTAGGCGCACGTCAAATATTTGAATCCTGTCGCTGACAATAGATACTAGAGAAGGGTAGAGGGACGAACCTATTACCCCCACAGAGTTTAGAACTGCACACCATTTTATCCTCGGGGATTTCTCAGTTATCAGAAAAAATAGGAAGTGTACTTCTGTAGGATGTAACAACTATGCCTGAGTACCAAGCTAGGTGGGGCCGGTGGTATGAATACTCCTATCTATGTCACTCCATTTGGACATATTTTCTCTATATATAACAATGAGTTCAATATTGGACTTGTTCACAACAGAAAGAAGAAACATCAGTGAATTTAATTTTGTTCTGTTGACATCTTAATAATACAGGCTGAAGAAAATTTTTGCTCTCTGATTCCAAATGACTCGACAGTAAGGAAGAAAAAGGAAACTAGAGAGGGGAAAGAATGTCTCCTTATTTTTTAGTTCAATAATGGAAAGGGATATGTATGTCGTTCAGAATCCAGGAACACTAAAGTTGGGAATTGGAGTTGTAGTTTTAGTTGCAACTCTACCTTACATCACTTAGGTGTAAAGTTACAATCTCGGTGGAGGCTTTTCCTGCATCTTCCTTTCCCTCCATACCCGACTTTTCACTGTAATCCCCGCACCAAAAGAACTTAAAGTGTTCAATATGAAAGCAACAAAAGTTTACTTGTAAAAATGTGTATAAATGCTTTTGTAATATAGCAACTAAGGAAACAGTTGATGGGTAATTTGATATGTCAATTTGTCCTTTGAATCTGTTTTGGTATGTGTTTAGCATAAAAAATTTCAGATGTTTTTAGCTACTTCAACATTTGAGTTTCTTGCATTTCACTTGGAATAATTTGCTCAACGAAATTATTTGCTACCCATGTCTCAGCCATTTCCTTGGTTTATTGAATCCAGATATATGTGTTCTTCCCAGAGGAGGCAAAGGTTGGTGTTAAGACAATGAAAACTTATACAGAACGCATGAAAAAAGAAGATGTCTTCCAAGCAATCCTCGTTGTACAACAAAATTTGACTCCCTTTGCCCGTACCTGCATTTCTGAAATATCTACAAAATTCCATTTGGAGGTTTTCCAGGTGACTGCTCTACTATGTCTACAAATATTTTATCCTTACTACTTTGAACGAAGGATTGAAATTGTTATAAAATAGCTGAGGAGCTCAGTTTACTCTACTTTTGTGATCATTTTTTTGTTACATTTTTTATTTGGTTTTTTCGATTTTGGTCTAACTACGGTTCATTTGAGCACCTGACACTACATCTCAAGTAGCAGGACCACCAAAATCAGAGTTTATTGTGATTTGCGACCATTTGCATTTTGATAGGGGGATTATCCATATATGAAATTTATCAATTCATCTTCTTTGGGTCTTGACCGAGAGTGATTCTACTGGCATTTTCACTCATATGAAGGATTATTTGGTATTCCTCCTTTTTCATTTTTGTGGTGTGTGTGGGTGGGGGGAGGGGGGGGGGGGGACATTTCTGTTCTTTGTTTGACTTGGTAATCGGGGAGCTTGCATTTTGCACCTTTAGTTGCTTTATGTGATTGATAATTATCCATTTAGATAGTGAAAATTGGTGCTTAATCATCGTGCTATGTGTTTAATGTTTCAGGAAGCAGAGCTGTTGGTAAACATAAAAAATCATGTTCTAGTTCCAGAGCACCAGCCACTTACTCCTGAAGAAAAGAAGACCTTGTTGGAACGATATACTGTGAAAGAAACACAGGTTCGTGTTGATAACATTATTGCACTTGTTAAACTTTTGACCTCATATAATACATTAAAGACCAGGAGACACATGGTGCCTTCATAATTTTGAAGGCAGAATCTTTTAGTGCTAGTGTGGTTAAGAGTGAAAGAATTAATGCGATGGCTTTGTATTCCCTTCGACCTATTGTGAATGAAATTGAAGATAGAGAAAGGAAGAAGATAAAGCAGCATGCTTCCTTATAGTGTTAAAGCCAAAATTGTCGTGATCTCCCTTAGTAGTCTAGAAATTAACCAATTTTTTCTTTGCGTCTTGTTTTGTGTGAAAGATCATGTGAAACCTTGTTTCGAATAGCTGTTTGTCTATGTTAATACATTTCTATAGCTTGACTTCTATTATGACTTGGGGTTTGGCTGAGGGGAAATTTTATACGGAACTAGGGTCCAGCTGGGAGGCTTGCCCAAACGTATCTATGGTTTGAACAATTCAGTTTCCATGTTGAGTTATGCTTTGATGAACCTAATGTTTGTTAATTGAGTAGCTTTGATGAAAAAACTACCAGCATGCATTGATTATTACTGTCGTTGCCTAGTTATCTTATGCTTCTACCTTTTGGCAGATTGTTTTGTTCCTGTCATCTTGGTTAGCGCTGCCACTTTTGACTTGTGCTATTTGGATAAGTGCGGTTGATTGCTATTGCATCTTTCTATCTAATCGAATGCCTAATAATTTCTTCTGTTAAAACAGCTTCCTCGAATTCAGATCACCGATCCTATTGCTAGATATTATGGGCTAAAACGTGGCCAAGTCGTGAAGATTATCAGACCAAGTGAGACTGCAGGCCGTTATATTACTTACCGATATGTGGTGTGAATTAGTTTTGATGTTTTCACCAGTTGAAATGTAAGCACTGACCAAAAAAGTCAAGTGATGTAGTTGTTTCCTTCCCATTTTCTTTTCATATGAAATTATGAGAGACCAATTTTATATGTAAACTACACCTCTGGGCTCTGCATCTTTTTCCGAGGTTGCCCTGGTTCTGACTTCTGACCTCTAAAATGTGCACAAAATCATGTGTAACATCTGTTAGTTTGTATTGTCCATACATGAACATATTTGAAACTAAGAATGCATTTGTAGATGCAGTCTTCACTCTGTCAATCTACAAGCATGAATTTGCAATGTCACACACTACCCTGAGCCGAGGGTCTATTGGAAACAGCCTCTCTATCCTCACAAGGTGGGGGTAAAGTCTGCGTACACACTACCCTCCCCATACCTCACACCGCCTCTCTATCCTCACAAGGTAGGGGTAAAGTCTGCGTACACACTACCCTCCCCATACCCCACGGTGTGAGATAATATTGAGTATGTCACTACCCTCCCCATACCCCACGGTGTGAGATAATATTGAGTATGTTGTTGTTGTACACACTATATAAGCTATCTTTCTATCATAGAAATTGAGAATGATGAGCAAACAAAGAGCTAGGTTCAGGTTGTAGCCATGAAAAGCACCCTTAGAATGAGAACATCAACCTGCTGAAAAGAAGAGTTTTTGTTCCCTACTAAATTGTACTCCTTTCCTCTTTTTTATGTTGCTTTAATAGTCTAATAATTGGATTTTACTAGCCGGATTAATTCAGATTTGCGCTGTGTAGAACCTATTAAGGGGGAAGTGTACCCTACTTTGGGTTTCTCCACTCTTATGACTCGAACTTGAAACCTCTAGTTAAAGGTGGATGGATACTATCCATTTCCAAATCCTTGGTAATCCCAATCTGTAAAACAAGGAGAACTTTGCCATATAACTTCCATTAGTATTTTATGGTCTAGCCAACAAAATGTACATTGCAGTACAAGAAAACAAAGAAAAAACTTCAACAAGAAGTACATCAGGTAGACACTCGATTAAACACCTCTAAGAATTAGAACAAGTGTAAAAACTTCTATCAGAGAAAACTGCAACTTCCCCAACCGTCAAAATGGTAGCTCAGTGCACAAGGCATTCCGCATTCATACAGGATCCGGGGAAGGGCCGCAATCCAAGGAGTACGATATAGACAACCTACCCTAACGCAAGACTGTTTCCATCGTTCGAACTCGTGATTTATTGGTCGCACGGAGACAACTAGCTTCCCCAACCATCAAAACATCTTATTGGTAGTAACTCTCCATCAACTAGTCAAACCAGATTTCTTCATCTCAATACACAAAATTTCATCATTTCCAAAACCATGCAAATGAAGAAGCAAAAAATATTTCTTGAAATATGAAAATTCCTAGTGAATTTTGATGGAAATTAAAACAAATAATATGGTTCAGTAACCTTCTAGCCATTACAACAAACCTAGACTCCATACTAATTGTTGCTAAAAGAAGAAAAAGGTCAAGAAAATATGCTATAGACTCAACACTAATTAACCTGCCCTATATATCAACATACTTCATATAGTAATCCTACTATATTCCAATCCTCTGCTTCCTCATCTCCAAAACTTTCCTATGAGAATTTGAATGCAAATTAGCTGAAAAAGTAGGACTATTCGCGGGACGATACTCAGGCAACAACCTTCCAGACTTATACCGGACCCCACAGGCGTTGCAGAGCGTCTTAGGTCCCATAGGACCTGCACGCCATTGTGGGGTCTTATCGACCCCACAATGCTGACACCTCCTACCAATGCTAGCTCTTTTAGCTGTCGTCATTGGTAATGAGAGCAATTCCCATTCTTGCTTATTGTTCTTGATTTTCAATTTTCTTCCCCATACGCAATGCTCATTTGTTAAGTCAGCGAAGCTAATTCTTCGCCTTCTCTTGCCCCGTGCACGCACGGGGTAGTTAACTGGAACTTGTAGGCTGCCACAGCCGATCATAAACGCGTTTTCCTTGTCGTTTATATTGCAACTGTTATTGTTAGTGCTGATACTGCTACCGTTTTCCAGTACTGAAACTGGGCTGTGGTGATCAAATATGATATTCGGGACATTTTCGGAGAATATATCAAACTCTACTGCTGGAAATGCATCTTTATTTGATAGCCATTCCAATTCTTCCTCTACAGATTCCTGCAATATGCATTTTGTTAATACAATGATATTTCAATTTAAATGATGTTTGATTGGCTCGAAATTTGAAAGAAAAACTTTTAGAACTTGTGATTTTAAATATACCGATACACTAAGATCCCGCTATACGCGGAGTCTGGAGAAGGGCCAGACCACAAGGGTCTATAGTACGCAACTTTACCCTGCATTTCAGCAAAAAGCTGTTTCACGGCTCTTTAAATGGAACGTGTGATTTTAAATATACCATGATATTTATTTAACTATAATGACATGTATTAAAGATAAATAAAAATATTTAGGAGGGAATATAATATTTTGTAGGGCTAATGTTGAATAAGAAAAGTCAATTCCAAAAGAATTTGTATATAGGGACCAAAATGTCTTTTTATATTTAAAGAATGCAAGTGGAAATCAGATACGTTGTATTATTCGTACAGCTCAGTGCCTCGTGATAACCAACGTACCAATCATAAAGATATGTCGGCCATATTTTTATTTCCAAAAATACCCTTATCATTTCCTAGCAAAAAAGAATTGCAAAAAATATACTATTTTCTTTTGTGAATGGAATTTAATAAAGAACGTGCCATGAATATATTCTTAGGGTTTCAAGGGTAAAATAGTCAAAATAGGAAAATTCTTGAACGCCTCCACTTTTGTCAGAGGGTATCTTGTTCCCTCCGCCGGAAAATTGTCGCGTTCCATTTTTAGTCCACGTAAAAAAGAAGGACATGTTACATTATTTTTTAAACGGAAAGCTTTAATAGACACATAAATATTAGAATATTTTTAAAATAACAAGTTTTAAAAGTTTTATATAGTCACACAAATATTATAGCGTATTTAAAATCACAAATTTTATAAGTTCCTTTAAAAAAAATAAAAAAGGGTCAACTCGATGCACAAGATATCTCGCGTTCACGCAGGTATGGGAAGAACCGCACCCGAAGGAATTGACGTAGACAGCCTATCTTTGCAAGCATTAGCGGCTGCTTCCACAACTCGAACTCGTGACCTATAGGTCACACGGAGATAATTTTACCGTTATCATATGGCTTCTCTAAAATTTTATGTTTTAAAACTTTGTGTCAAATTAAACTACGACAAACAAAGTGAAACGAAAGGAAATATCAATCAATGACTTACAGAAAATGAACGGCTATGATCATCCGGGAGAAAGCTAACGTTGGTTGAAGAATCCAAAGAAGAAAAAGAAGAAGAAGAAGAAATAGAAGGATGTTTTTCTTCATCCAAAGAGAAGTTCAAAATATCATCATCAACCATAAAACAAGTTGTTGAGTCCAAAGCTTCGACCATATTCATTTTCCAACAAAGAAAAAACTTAGAAAAATTTTAGAATAGAAGAAAAAATGAAACTTAGTTTGGTTCTTTGGCTTTGAGTTGGTTTGAATCTGTTGAGAGAGATATTAGGGAGAAATAGTGGGTTGAGAAGAGACTTAAGAGAGAGAGATTTGATCTCTTTCCTCTCTCTTTCTTTTATGGTATATAGTTGTAAACTCTATTATTGTTACCCATAAAGTTAAGGTTTTTTTGGATGGCAAGTTGGCAACAAGAGGATGTTGATTTTTTGCTTGTTTTTTAATTTTATTTTCTTTCCTTTTACGTTTGCACATTGAAATGATACCCTGCTTATCTAATTTTCTATTATACCGTCAGACTTCTCTATAACAATATTCTCATATAACAGTCATTCATTATGAAAGTCATATTTTTCTGGAACCGATTTTTATAATATGTTATAATATATATTTTTTATAACCGTGCTTCACTATAGCAGCAAAAAAAATATCAGAACGAACGAGACCGTTATAGAGTAATTTTTACTTCAACTTATATGGTGTAATTTGACTGGATACTACAAAATTTAAAAGGGAAATTTACACAAATGTTCCAAATAAATCTCAACTTACCAACCTCTAGCCATTAGTCATAGACTTACCAAAACTAGCCAACAAAAATTGAAAAACCAAATAATAGGGTTCTTTTTCTCAAGAATCACATGCAAAAATCACCTTCCATATTTTAAAGCGTGATTAGCAACATTAGATACAAGACGGAAAGGAAATTTCATGGACGGGGTAGCAAATAAGGTGATGAAATACAAAAATCTATACAATATTCCAAAAATCTAAACAAAAAAGGAACTTTTTCAATGGATATAGTTGAAATTCATTGAAAATATATAGATAAGCCAATATACAAAATTTGAGGAAGATTGGAGGTGATTTGGACTGGTTTTGTATCAAAATTCGTAATTAAATCGAGTTCAAAAAAGTCTTCTGCGACACATGTATCAAACATGTATCACGCATGTATCTCACACACAGATATACATGGATATACATGTGATACATAATTGATACAAATATGATACATGTGTGATACACAAATGATACATAGTGTGATACACATCTCATTTTTTTCATGTTCAGCTTTTACTTCGAATTTTCAATTTAAAACACCTCAAAACTTCACCAAATCATCCCAAAACTGAGATTCAAGCTCCTTAAGTTGTGCCCAATCTATTCTAATAACACCCACTCAAAACAAAGCAAAAAATTTGATATTTTTTTGCTACAAATAGCTAATTGGCTAAATTGGCTAATATTAGTAATATTTTATCAATTGACCAATTTTTGTAATGAACTACTTGTAAATGGACATAGCTGGTAATTTCCCAATTTAAAAAGGAAAAAAATCTTCAAACTTGTCGGTCTTAAACATTATACAACATTGTGTAGCTGTAAATTTCTTGAAACTTGTGATCCAAAATATATAGAAGTTTTCGGGGGTAAAGTTGGATATTATTTTCTCTACAAAATCATGTACTCCTGTTCGAACAGACTGGAACAGGGTTGGGTTCGGACGGACCCCAAAACTTTTGCTTAAACCTTATATTTGTATTAAAAAATTCATTAAATATATAAAATATTTAATAAGTTATTAAGGAAATAGTATCAGGTAAATTGAAACGGAGGAAATAGCCTATTATTTATTTATTATTTTTAAATATAAAAATATAGTACTGTTTTTTTTAACTAACTACTAAGAAAATAGTATCATGTAA